GACTCTACCATGCAGCCGAGACCAGCGACTCACGGTCGGGCTTCAAGTCACGATTAGGCATTAAAAAGGGCGAATTCCCCGCAGGCGTGAAATTGTGATAGTTTTCGAAGTCACGTCGTGGGGCAGGAGGCTTTGTTGGACGGCGATCTGGGACAAGTTCTCGCCGTCTGCTGGCTGCACGTGTCAATATTTCTGTTGCCCTTGCCTCCAGGACCTTCTCATACGTCCTCCTCAGAGTGAGAAGTGAAAGAGGTGAGACTTCTCCTGGAGTCTGAGGTGTAAAGGGGACTCATTAACTCCGGTCATTCTCCCTCCACTCTTGCACTTCTTGCCCTCCACCTTCACACTCCTTCCCTCCCTCCTGGATATCCCAACCAAGCAACCATCCACCCCACCACCACCCTACCTACCCTCTCCAACACCCACCCATCTACTGTTCCACACCCACTCACCTCCACCGCCCGTTTCCTCCTCGCACCTCCAGGCAAAAACATTTCACAGAGTTTTCGGGAGTATCAAGTTTCCCCGCAGGACTTAAACAATTCCTTGCCTGGCCGCTATGTATTCTTTATATAGCGCCAACGTGAGCAATAAACGCCCGCCCAGTCCCACCCACTCTGGCCCGCCGCCCGCCTCCAACCCCACCACCACCACCACCAACCCACTACCACCACCACCACCCTACCGACATCACCACACCACTCTATGTCAACACACCTTTCCCATCCCACCGCCCACAACTACACACTCCCATCACCACCCCCACCCATACACCACCACCACCCCACCCATTACCACCACATCACACCGCCCACGTCCATACACCTGTCCTACCTTTGCTAATTACCACCCCGCCCACACACACACACACACACACACACCTGTTCACCAACCCCTTCTACCTCCACCAGACACCTCCTCCCAGCACACGTTTCAGCACCCACACACCTGCGATACCACACCTACCACACCTCCAGTTTGAGGCCATACCACTCCGTAACAGGTATCCAATATTTTTTTGTTTTGCAACATTTGATACAGTGATGCAATATTTCATAGCTATGCAATATTTAAACCACTCAAACAATTTTCATGCAGTTTTGCAACATTTCACACATTGCTGCAAAAGTCCGTACAGCAGTGCAATATCTGTACATCATTTGTATAGATATTTCATACATTAATAATACACCAATAAGATAATACAATACATAGACCACATCCATTAGATATTTAAACACTAATTACATAATACATATATGGATTAGGTACGATTAGATATTTGATACATTAATCAGGTGTTTCCCCGCCACTGTCCACGACGCTGTACCACCTTAAAATTTTTCCCCCATTCATCGACTATATTTCCCCCCTTCCCCCCTTTTTTCCCCCCTCCCTCTCTCGAGAAATTTTCCACGTTCACGCCCCCGCCATATTTTACACGCCCGCACGCTTTTTTATGGTGTGTTCTCCACGCCCTCGCCGTTTTCTTTACGCCCACGTATCATTTTCCACGCTCAGGAAACATTAGGCTGGCATGACACTACACGCATCTTGTACGCTAACTCTTCCTCCTCCTCCTCTTTACTTCTTATTCCTTGTCCCTCTTCCTTTTACTAACCTTATCTTCCTCCTCTTTTTTTCCTCTTCCTAGTTTTGGCCTCCTTATGTTGACTTCTCTTTACCTCTTTTTCTTTATCCTCCTCCACACTTTCCTTCCTTCCTTCCCTCCTTCCTTCCTTCCCTTCCTTCCTTCCTTCCTTCCTTCCTTCCTTCCTTCCTTCCTTCCTTCCTTCCTTCCTTCCTTCCTTCCTTCCTTCCTTCCTTCCTTCCTTCCTTCCTTCCTTCCTTCCTTCCTTCCTTCCTTCCTTCCTTCCTTCCTTCCTTCCTTCCTTCCTCCCCTTCCTTCCTTCCTTCCCCTGTCTCTGGGTTCATGAGCTCTTAATGTCTCCCCCCCACTGGCGACGTCCATGATAAGAGACCAACATCCACGCCGCTGCTCTCCTTACTACATCCGCGCCCTCTGACCTCCATGACCTCCGACCTCCACGACCTCCTCAGTCTGCAACCTTTACCTCTTGCCACCCCCCCCCCTCTTTCCTACTCAACCTTCACTGCCCCTTAAATCCTTTATTGGCCTCATTTACCTCACGCTGGCCTCATATTTACCTCACCCTTTCCTCATATTTTACCCCACTGTGACCTCTCACAATTACCTCTCATTCTTCATGTTTTACCTCACCTTGGCCTCTCAATTAATCCCATTCTTCATGTTTTATCTCACCCTGGCCTCTCAGTTACCTCTCATTCCTCATATTTACCTCTCTCTGGCCTCACACTGGTCTAGCAAGGTTCGTGTGGTGTGGAAGGGGTGTGTTCCGGGTTGGGTTGACGGTGAGAGCTATATATGGTGACTGTGACTTGTGGCTCTGGCGATCTAAAACTCATTAGATATCAGAATGGCAAAATCGAACGCTATCGGGTCAATTCTGTCGGGTTAATGCTGTCCAATGAACGCTTATCGGGTTAATGATATCAGGTCAACACTATCGGGTCAACTCTATTGGTCAACGCTTTCGGGTCACCGCTATTGTATGAATGTTAAGAGGTCAAAGTCATCTGGTTAAAGTCAAAGAATGATCGGGCTTAAGTCATTTGGATAAAGTTATCTAGCAGAGGAGGCGTTAAACAAGATGACGGGACAAAGAGGAGAGACAAAGAAGGAGAGAAAAGGGGAGAGGAGGAGGAGGAGGAGGGATTAAGGGAGATGATGGTGATGATGGAGGAAAGAAGGGAAGGTGGGAGAGCCGGATCACCTCTCCCCCATCGGCTGCAGGAGGAAACTCGCACATTGATAATTCATGTTCCTGTCTCTGCCTTGTCTGAGGGGCGACACCTACTCTCTCTCTCTCTCTCTCTCTCTCTAGATGTAGAAAAGGGTAAATAGATTCACAAACAGACAAACAGTTGGAGAGGCCCCTGGGAGTGTCACCATGAACAACGAATGACCTCCTCTGCCAGTGAATGATTATAATGATAGTAATAAGAGGGAGATTGATGCAGTAACATAGATATACGATAAAGCCACGACAGGGACCGCCTAGAGGGCCTCTGGGGGGTCTATATATAATAACACAACAAAAATATCAATTGGTAACCTAGGCCAGGTATTCAGTTACAGTTAGCTTCCATCAAGTTTAATTACCTGTTGATTTTAATATACTCTGAGGACAATAAATATATCTCATTTCAACCATCAGTAATTCTTATATTTTAAAAACAGTCATTGAAATAATAATAAAATCGGGACTGTCACAATTAACTCTTAAAAGCCCTTATCGTATTATCAACTTAGGGTCCCATAGCTGATTGCCTCTTCGTCATCATTTAACGCCATACATCTCAGTGACGTCACCACACGCGGGAATGTTGATGAAATATTTATCCTTCAACTATAGCTAACGAGGTCAATATCCCTGTCTGGCAACAATGGTAATTACCTGGTAAATCACCCATTAAGATCCTAAATACGACCTTAATTAAATCGCCCCAGACCGCTTTAATGTAATTAGCGTTTATAGTCGCCTTAAGTAGATGTAAGAGCAAGGAAGGTATATTTTATTTGTTGATGCGTGTCTCACATGTTGACGATGTATGCTCTCTAGTATTGGGAATCTGATGGCGTAGTTGTTGATGGACATTACTCGTGCCTGCGTGGTTACTAATAGTACTCTTAGCTGTGTGGTTTCTACTAGTACTCGTAGATATGTGGTTTCTACTAGTACTCTTAGCTGTGTGGTTTCTACTAGTACTCTTAGCTGTGTGGTTTCTACTAGTACTCTTAGATGTGTGGTTACTAATAGTACTCTTAGCTGTGTGGTTTCTACTAGTACTCGTAGCTGTGTGGTTTCTACTAGTACTCGTAGATGTGTGGTTACTAATAGTACTCTTAGCTGTGTGGTTTCTACTAGTACTCGTAGATGTGTGGTTACTAATAGTACTCTTAGCTGTGTGGTTTCGAAGAGTACTCGTAGCTGTGTGGTTTCTACTAGTACTCGTAGATGTGTGGTTACTAATAGTACTCTTAGCTGTGTGGTTTCTACTAGTACTCGTAGATGTGTGGTTACTAATAGTACTCTTAGCTGTGTGGTTTCGAAGAGTACTCGTAGATATATGATTACTAGAAGTACTCGTTCCTGCGTGGTTATTTTGGGCCATTTATTGTTGCCGTGTTATTATTTGTGGCCATTTATCGTAGGTACGTGGTTAGGTTAAGGTATTTAGACACTGATTGTATAGTTATAAGGCCGTATATCGTGACCATGTCATCGCTGTGTATCGTACTTACGTGGTCATTTATCGCACCTGCGTGGTTAATTGTCGCACTTCGTAACTACACCACACAATGAGTTAAAAGAGAGAGAGAGAGAGAGAGAGAGAGAGAGCATTTGTTTTTGTGTTTCTCTCCTTTCTCTCTCCCTTCCCCTCACTCATCCTTCCCCGTCCCATTCCTCCTGTCCCCTTCCCCATCCCTGGCCTCCCGCTACGCCCTGATGGTTGTCTCAGCCCATCAGTACCACCCTGATGGGTTGTCTTTAGTGGAGCTGAATGTGAACCATTTATATAATGGAGCGACCCTCACCGCCCACCTGCTGTAGCCCGCCAATACGCCACATACCTGGAATATTCCACATACCTGGAATAAGTCAGATGTTAGGAGTTAATCTATGTACTGTGATTAAACCAGATTGTGGGAATGTTCCGCCGCTGTAAATATTTCCGCAGCTTTGGTAAATCTTGTAATGTCGTCCCTGTAGTCATGATCCCGATTCCCACACCTACAGGCGGTACCTGGGGTGACCTATGATGACCAGTGACCCCAGACTGGACGAAAATTAATAGTTATCTCTAAATGTTATAGTTGTGTGTGTTTGCATGTGTTCTAATATGTGTATGTTTGATTGGCTGTGTTTTAATGGGTGTTTGTTTCTCTCCCACAGAGGTGTTGAGCAGGATGGGTGTAGCCAGGGTGGCGGGGTCCCGGGCCTGCTGCCGGCGGCCTGCCAACCTGCTACTGCTGTTGCCGCTCCTCCTGCTGGTCATCTCCACCGTCAGAACCCGTGCAGGTAAGATCACGCCTTGACCTTCTCTTATTTTTCACTTCCGCTTCCACGGTTATTTACCCCCCCCCCCCTGACACACACCCGCACGCACACTGGTTTATGCAGTGAGTGGGCAGACAAGACGACAGGTGTCACTATGATATTATTACCAAACGATTTCATAGATTAATATTTTTTTTATTACTGTATTATTTTTACTTATTAAAGATGTTTATTTGTCGGCGGCATTAATTTTGTTGTTCCGTGTGTTTGTGTTTACATGTGTTAGCTCTGTTATGGAAACCTTTGAGTTAACACCTTCAAACTCACACACTAGTTGTACCTGGGTTAAAGACATGGGTGAGTGAGGCTTGGAGTCTTACCTTGGGTGACTCATGGCGATCATCATCAAGTGTCACCCTCAAGCATGACGTTCAACAATTTTGTCTTTGTTGTTCACCATCTTACTGAACATTACTGAGAACTATGCAATTTCCCCACGTCGCCTTTGTTATAAACTTCCCACCTCCCTCTACTCACTCTTCCAATTCCCACCCTTTATCTCCCCACACCCTCATCCCCAACCCCTCATCTCCCAACCCCTCCTCTTCCCACATCCTTATCTCCCCACCCTGTCATCTTCCCACCCCTCCTCTCCTAACCCCTCCTCTTCCCACATCCTTATCTCCCCACCCTGTCATCTTCCCACCCCTCCTCTCCCTGTCATCTCCCCACCTCTCCCCACCCTGTCATCTCCCACACCTCTCCCGCCCTGTCATCACTCCACCCCTCCTCTCCCACCCTTGACACAAAGCTCCTGTGTTACTTTCATTGCAGCCTTAAACCGCTGACAATGGCCCAAGGAACAAGCTCTCTCTCTTTCCCCTCCACAAACCTCTCCCCTTCCCTTCCTCCCCCTTCCTTCCTCCCTTCCCTAGACACGGGCTAAATTGAAACTTAAGGTCCAGGGGGGGGGGTAATTAGCCAGTTAGACCTAATGTGCAGTGGGGCGTAACTGATGCGCTTGAACCACCAAGATAAGAAATGAACCACGCGCCTTGGTTAACAGTGTGAACCTCTAAAGGGGGGGGGGGTCGTTCCTGTAGAGAGAGAGAGAGAGAGAGAGACTATTCACAGTATACTCTTCAAGAATGAATAGAAGGGAACCTACATTGCACGACAGGATGTTTACATACGATCAGCTGACCGCGGCAGTCTTCAGGGAATGTCTCCACTGAAACTCTATATATATATCCAGACGAAGAAAAATCCCTGGAAATTTCTTTTAAAAGACTTTTATTTCCTCTCATCTTTTTCTTTTCATTTTTATTTTCGTTTATTTCCATAGTTCCCTGTATCACTCCTCTGGTTCATTCCTCACTGTTCCTTGTTCCGCTTTAATGTGTGGGTGAACCTTGAGGCTGGTCGTGGGTACAGTCTGTTTGGGTTGATCCAGCAGTAAGGAGTCTTGTCTTCCTCCACCAGATGACAACAAACACTCGACATGTCACCTCGGCTTTTGTCTTCCTCCGGGGCTGTTTTGTCTTCCACTTGGGCTGAAGTTTTACTCTATAACCAGAACCAACCGCAAGATTCTCACTACACACCACAAACAAACACACGTGTACAACCACACACCACAAACAAACACACGTGCACAACCACACACCACAAACAATACACGTGCACAACCACGTATACAACCACACACCACAAACAAACACACGTGCACAACCACACACAAACAACTCCAGTGCGTAGTAAAAGAAAAACAAAAAGGGATGAATATTCAGTGTGGAGTTGATGTGAGCGGTGAGGTGGTGACTCCTGTGGGTGGGTGAGTGGGTGGGTGAGTGGGTGGGTGGGTGGGCGAGTGGATGGGTGGATGAGTGGGTGAATGGGTGGGTGAGTGGGTGAGTGGGTGGAAAGGGTGTAAATATCCTTCTCATCTTAAGAGAGTTAAAACTATCATAATTTTTCTTATTTTCGTCTTCGTTATTTTCTTCTCAGTTTTTTAATTTATATTATTGTGTAGGAAAAGACAGTTATTTTTTATTTACAACTTCTTATATACAATTTTGTAATAACTAGCGGTGTGTGTGTGTGTGTGTGTGTGTGTGTGTGTGTGTGTGTGTACGTGTACCTGAACAGAATCATTAACTATATTTTTTTCTTTGTTGTTTGTTTACTAAGCTTAATATAAGTCTTTACTTAAATGACGACCTGAAATTAAAATGATTATTTCATGCTGATGAGAAGAAGAAGAGGAGGAGGAGAGGAGTCATTAACCAGTATTAAAAACCCCTAATAGACACACAAGGAAAAATAGAGAAGAGAAATAGCAGACGGAACAGGAAAAGGAGAGAGAGAGAGAGAGAAAGAGTAGTGAAGAGAAGACGTAAGATGATGATGATGATGATAATGATGGGAACGAATGTAAATTACAAATGGAAGGAGGAGAGGAAGGTTAGAGGCACAGGGGGTAACGAGGCAGCTGGAAGAAGATGGACAAGGAGAGAATAAGAGAGAGAGAGAGAGTAAAGGAGAAGAGAAGGGTAATTAGTAAACATGGAGAAGATTAAGTAGTGATAATAGTAAGTGAGTTGGAAGAGTAAGAAGATGAAGGGAGGAAGAAAATAGAAGAAAAAGTGGAAGGCAAGAGAAGGAGGAAGGAATGAAGACAAGATAAAGGGGAAGAGAGAGAAGGAGGAGGATGAGGAAGGAAAGGCGAGAGAGAGAGAGGGAAGGTGAAGAAGGAAGGAAAGGAGAGAGAGGGAAGGAGGTGTGGGTTACGTCCGAAGTCGTCCCCCCCCAAAAAAAATGCAAATTGTTGAGTGTGTGGAGCGAGGGAGAGGCTGCCCCTCGTTTAACACACCCGCCAATTTACCTCAGTATTATCTAGTAATGTATGCGCGCCCTCACACACCCAGATTTGTTACACTGCTTTGCCCGATTTATTATTGTGTTATTCCTGTGTAAGTGTAAGTGTGGGGGGTGGTAGATGTGTGTGTGTGTTGTTGAGGGGGGGTGTAGGGGATAAGGTAGGGGAAAGGATGGACATATCTGTGTGTGTGTGTGTGTGTCAGTCATTCTGTCTTGTATTCGCCCGCCTGTATATCACGCTCTGCATCAGACTGCTTGCCATCGCTATCTGTCCCTGCCTGCTTTACTGCGTGTGTCTGCCTGTGCTTGTCTCTGAGATGGTTAGATAGTACAGGGTGTATGTGTGTGTGTGTGTGTGTGTGTGCGCGCGTGTGTGTGTGGGACAGCACCAGAGGACGGCCACGGGGTGGGTGGTGATCCAAACATCATTCACGACGATGGACTGCCGTTCTCCTCAATGGGCGGGCGGCCCAGGCGGGAGGATCCTGCATCAATAATCTTACGGTGGTTGTCCCGAGAGGTCCTCAGGCGCTGGCTGGGGGAAGGAGATGGTGGTTGGTGGAGGAGGGGGGGGGGATCTTGACGGAGTTGAAGGGGTTAAGATAGGACTCTGATTGATGGAAGGGTGTTTGGAAACAACGAGTGGTCTGGGGATAGGTCAGAAGTCCTGGAGAATAGTAGACGACAATAGTAGTGATCCTCAAGAGGGGAAGATCCCGTGGTCGTGGGGAGTTATGAGGCTCTTTGGGGAAGATGTAGGACTTGAATGGCACAGTAAGAGGGTCCTGTAAGTGGTGTGGTAGTCTTAGGAGAATGGTTGTGGTCCTCGGGAAGACGTAAGGTCCGGGGGTATTAAGAGGCTCCCGAAGAGGAGTCCTTGATAAAGTTTTGTCGCTGGCCGCGGGTGTAGCCGAGGCTTTATGTGTGTTTTTCATAATAGAACACGGACGGTGGGGTGTAATACGCCCGGGCCAGGCGGCAGGATGGGCTCGTCGCGCTCCACCACATGTACCAGGCTGGGGTCCTCGTCGGGGGGTGGTGGAGGATTGTGAGGTTGTTGGAGGTTGAGGACCTCTTGAGGTGCTAGGAGGAGCTGGAAAGGTCTTATGGGGTTACGGAAGGTCGATGAGAAGTTTTGGGGAAATTGTTGGCTTTTAAAGTGTTGTGATGCTCTTGAGATGAGGAGGTACTGAAGAGCTGAAGGAAGACCGATGCGGGTAACTTGAGAAACCTTTGACTTATACAGGTTTACAGGTGAAGAGGAGAGCGACTACTAGCATACTGGTAGAGTTATCTGTAGCCTGCCCGAACTAAGTACCAAGGGCTCTGTTTTCCTTGTATAACTTAGGATGTTACTCATAGTTGGTCACTAAGTTAAGATAAGTCTGCTGCCTGGGAACCCACATTGCCACAACAGTAACGCGGGTAAAGCTGTTATGGCGCTCTACCTCACCTTGCTAGCCGCCGTAGGTATGTCTTGATGATGTAAGTCTGAACTCTGGTCACTGGCGTCTCACCTGTAGGAACTCCTGCTTTACCATTCCCAAGAAACTGGATGATTAGCCCACAGGTAATTGGGTTACCTAAGTATTATTATTTATTGTAATTTGAGAAAAATCGTAGTTAATTGGCAGAAAATATCGGCGTCTGCTTGTTCAACGTTGCTTTGTTTCGCTCTCACTCTTACCTTACCGGGTTGCAAGTAATTGGGTGGTTAGTGGTTGTTTAATTATAATCTGGAACATTTATAATATAATTGCCAGGTATTGTTCCTAATCAGCTGTGATGTTGACCATTGTTTTGCTCCCCATGACCACTACTGAGACGACGTGAGTTGTGAGGAGTTGGAGTCCTCTACCAATCCCAACAGGCCGAAAGCATCCACCTGAACTCTCATTGGCTGAACGTTGAAGTCGTGCGTGAGGACCGGGTGATTCATTACGCCTTGTTCCATTTCCTTTCTCACTCTCTCTCTCCCTCATTATAGTCATTTACACGGGGATGAGACCTAGAGTGGACCAAGGGAGGATACGGGGAGTGTACCAAGGAAGAATACGGGGAGTGTACCAAGGGAGAATACGGGGAGTGTACCAAGGGAGTGTACCAAGGGAGCATACAGGGACAGTGTACCAAGGGAGGAT